ACTAAAACAAATTTACTTATTCACATTATTGATTAATCAAATTATTTCAGTTTGCTTTTAATAAGACCAAGAACAGTACTTCGGTAACAACTAAATTTGATAGTTTAAAGTGAATTGATGTAGAATTTATATAAACAAACATAATTAATATTAATATAAACCTGTGCGTAAGCAGTTGCCAGTTAAACTAATATGTGATTTAGATTTGTTCAAAGCTAAACGCCAGCGTTTATTGTCGGAGATGGAAATTTATTGCGTCAATGCATAATGATAACAATGAGCAAATTTAGTGGCCAATAAAATATTTAAAATTGCGACTATTCCGAACTACAATTTGCGAATTTTTATTGTAGTTTCCCTATTTGGTCTATGGCTGCATCGAAATAAATAAAACAGACTTTCCTAGCTATTATTTTACAAGCGATAAAACACTTTTAAAGAATCATTTATTTTATTTTTGCCTGAAGCGACTGCACAAATTAGAGAATCATGACCTTCACATTGCACATTGCTTTGCATGCTGCGGAATATCGCTCAAATAGTTTTCAATTACAATTATGTTTCAATAACCGCATGATTCACATAATTGAGTTCTGGTAAGTCAATTTTATTGTGTTTAAATGTCACAGTTTAATTTTTGGCAGTGGAAATTTAAGTAGATTTAAGTATCTAATCATGATGTAATCCTTTATAATAAAACAATTAAATTCTAATTCAAGTGATTACCATTTGCTAATAAAATTGTTTTATCATAAGTGCATAATATGTTTTTATTAATAAAAATCTTATCAATGCAAACAATAATCAATAATGTTCAAATGCTTTTGCAAAGTTTGCTAGTTTGTAATTTTAATTAATAAATGAATACTTATGTAAACATATAGCTATGAATATTATTTGGTGTTGATACAATCGTGTAAATTTAATTATCACCTGTGTCAACACGCAACATTGCAATAATCGAGAGCATATTGTTTCAATGACTTGGCTTTCGAACTTAATTACACTAAAAATCCATGTGTTGTATTGTATTATCGCTGCGAGTTGGTTTATTTAACGAAATTTATTAGTTGCAGGTTAGTAGGAGTTCTGTTCACACATTTAAGTTATGAGGTGTTGAATAACGTGAATTAGATTGAGGCTGGTTGCGTCAAAAGCAAAAGTTAACATTCGTTAAGATTCGCACTTTTTGTTGTCATATTTAACACGTTATTTGCTATTGGATAATATGTGTTTGTTTAGGCTTTAGAACATTTTTCAGTAACTCTTCTTACTTAAATGTTTCAAGTTCAGATAAAATTCTAGTAACTAATTCTAGTTTTATTACCTAATGGGTATAATCATAATCATACTTGAATGCTATACTGTTTGTTAAACAGCCTCGGAAAAAATTGAAAAATACTTTAAAATGTCCCGTAAAGTGGGTTTGCTTTAAAAACATTTGATTAGGCTTTATGGAAAACATAAATCTTCTTTTGGTAAAAATAGCAGAAGTTGACAAGCTTTGGAAAGTTTTTTCGCCTTTTTGACCCATTTGAAAAGCAAATTACAAGTAATATCCGGAAACCGTACACAAAAATAAACTATGAGATAATTATTGGCGATATGATTACGTTTTCACTTTTAACATTTGATATTACGGAATTTATAGCATTGCTCCCATATTAATAGTATTTAAATGCAGCGATGCTGATTAAAGGCTACTTTTTATTATGTGTTAACATTAATTTAACATCTTAAATGTCTTAAATGAACTCCACGTGCGATTGTTCTTAAGCGGTGCGACTGACGCAACATAATCATATAAGATCCAGCCAGACATCACGTGAATCGAATAATCACCTGGCTAAGTTATAGTGTTGTTGTAGTGTTGCACGTATAACAAACACATTAAAGTCTACAACTACGCATTGCTGATATTGCATATAAGCTTAGCTTTTTCTATGTTAAGGTCATTGTCTAATCGGCGCTGAACAAATGTATAACCAGCGAGTTTCTGGTATTAACCTGTTAAGCAGCACTCTTATATTCTAATCATATTAGTATTAGTATTACGAGTATAATGTTTATAATTGCATAATATTAAATGAACTGTGTTAATTAGACACTTTTATTCTTTAGTGAATATTATTATAAAACCAATCGTTTTTTTTTTCGAATATTTAATGTCATGTCTCTTTTAAAATATGTGATTTATTGTTATACACATAAAAAATCAATACTTGTCTGGTGTAAACATTAAAAACCAGGTGTTAACCACAATTATATTGTTGCGAAACAAATTACAAATACTATAAATGACTAATTGAATGTAAAACTGATCATTTTCGATTACCAGAAATAAAATCATATATGTATGTTATTACTGCCACGATTTGCATTATTTGTTTTTCAATTGCAACATTTGATTGTTTTATTAAAACGAATGAAAATTATTGAAAACAATCCAGTCTCAAAATTGGAATTGAATTTCGTAGCTGTCTATCGCTTGATAAATTTCGTATTTTGCATTGTGATTTGTTTATTTATTTCGATTGATAACTAAAACTAAATAAATAGACGATTTTTTTATCTTTCGATTGTTTTTAAACTCGATACTCAACACATGTGATGTGGCTTTAATTCGTCAATAATTTTATCACTCCACATTGCGTTCCGACCACCTTGCCTATAATTGTAATACTCAGTCAGTCAATGCAGGCAGTTATTTCTGCAATAATGCATTAATACATATTATCGGATTATTTTACAGCCTCAAATGACTGGCAGATGAACAAGGCTCGCTGAATGCAGAATGTCATGTCTGAATTGTCGAATAATCAAATTATTAAAATTCGTGATTGACTAACAAATATTGTCAATAATCATATAAATTACAATTAATACATAAAATATCGAATTTTATTCATTTCATTGGCATAATAAATATGTTAATTAGGTATAATAAAATTGATTCCATTGTATTATTATACTCTAGATAAAGTTTTTTCTTTAGTTGTGAAAACATTGTCTCGAAAACTACATGCAACATATCCGTACTTTGCACTCGCATCATCTCTCACTGGCGCGCCTCGCGCATTAAAATTAATTTAAACAATTCGAATCTAGCCTTACCCTTAATCTTAACGGAAGTGCGTGACGTCATTGTGCTCCAACTTCGCTGCAAGCGACGACGATAAATATTCCTTGCAACCAATGTTTGTACGTCTTTCACACCGATTCAACACATTATTAGACAAGAGGACGGATGATGGCACATCACACGATCACCATGCACACGAAACCGCAGATGCCTAATGGTCCGTTGATGAAGACGGCCGGCGTCGACGTGATGGCGAATTGGCCACTTATTCGATTAGAACTCGTCCGCCGTCTGTCTCTCATCAGCCGGCAACGCGCACTTCATGAGACATCCATTATATTGTTATTATAATTTATAGCGATTCACCTTATCCCGACGTATCCTGCGCCTGCCCGCCCAAAAGTTGCGCGCAAACCGAGCGCGCGTTTTCGACTCGAACTTTTCAATGCCGCACGTTAACTTTTGATGTCATCGCGCGCGCGAGTAATTTATACGTGTGCTCACACCTGAAACGAGGAAATTTACGCTTTTCTAATATTCAGTCAGATAAACACATCAAATAAAAGCGCGTGCTCTTGAATTTTCAAGATCGCCAAAAATTTCCGTTGAAAAATCACACAATTTTCACAATGATATTAAATTTTAAATATTTTACCGGTGACCAAAAATAAATTTAAATATTTATCGTTCGGTTTGTTTTATTGTTATTCTTATAACGTGTATTGTATATTTTGTTATTACTATCTCGTTTGATGTTATTGTGCAGCAACGTTCAGCGTAAACAATATTGTTATATTACACGAGTTTTTTTATGAATACTGATGGGTACAATTTGTGCTAACAGCACAATTCGTCACAGTTTTCACGACCGTTGGTACAAGCCACATGCTAATACAATTTTCGAATGTTTATACGTCGCGAACCGAATTAAACTACAGCGCGATGTGCCCGTGAGAGCGGTTGCACGACGACTTGAAACGTGCGCGGAGTTCTTATCACGAGTGGCTGAGCAGACCACTTAAGTCGCGGGAATTTTTTCGAGTGTGTTTAAAGTTCAGCGTGCGCGATTCTAAGTGCGATTGCACTTGCCGTCCTAGACTTGTACACATGCACATGTGTATGTCGGGTTGCCTACAACAAGATTTATGTTAAGAGAAACTTTAAAACTCTTTAAAGTTTAAAAGAGTTTTTATCTGTAGTTTGAAATCATTTTAGAATATATGTCAGTATCATATTATGAGCGAGGTTGTAAATAAATTATGCAGACGAGTACTTTAAGATCAAATTCGGGAAGTTCGCGGAGTTTGCCGCGAAGAAGGAGCTAGTTTCATCCCAAAGTTAGCCAAACATATTTGTTCACGTTGTGTGGTGTAACTTTCCCATTTGCTAAACGCGACCGTCACTCACTGGCACATTAACTTAGCGAAATGGTGCACTCGCGCAGTAAAATGAGTATATTATGCGTGGGTGCATGCGTGATAAAACATAATATATGTCAAGCGAATGCACAGATTGCATTTTCATTCGGATATCTTAATTATTTTCTCATCACTAGTAAACAGAGTCATAATTGTAATAAATTTGCTGTTTCAAAGAAAAGGAAGTTGGACAATTTAATGAAAATTCAACAAAGTAACTAAAGATTTAGTTATTACTGTGAAAATGTGTGCAATGTGATGGATATCATGTTTTATATACTCCCATATTGTAAAATACAGTTTTCTGTATCATATCTTTTCGACTCTAGGTATTTTATGTAATATAATAGATAAACGAGCGTGATAATATAGTTTAGATGATGTTTTCATATTCTTACCTTTCTGATGCCCTTTATTTGTGAAAAAACGGCTTTTACTTTTTATTAACGTGAAATAAACTAAAAAATCATGAAAAAACTGAATGTCAACACTCTGGGCCGTTATTTTTGGTTTAATTGTTAAACATTTTATTTGAAAGTCTTTTAAATATGTCAAATACATGATATATTGTTAATTATTATATTAATATTATGAATATCCACATTCACATTTATTATAATCGATTGTGATAATAATAAGTAAAAAGAAAGAAACCCACATGAAATGAAAACATTTTGAATCGACCTAAAGTGAAAACGCATGGCAAACATGTTTATTCAACTATATGACAACGCTTGAATTAATATATTCATTATGTTTACAATTGATTTAGTTAATCTGGTTCTTTACTTAAGGTCAATCAAAGATGACTTTGTAAATCAATGTGTCAACTATACGTTATCGATTTACACATTACACAAATGCAAATGTTTGAATATTGTATCTGTAGTTAGACCGCTTCGAACTAATTTCGTTTTGCATCGCAAACGATTTATTGGTATAAATTGCAAATTGAATAACCACGAGAGTATATGAATCAATAAGTGTCGGTTACTGTGTTGCCATTGTTTCCATTATTTATCCCACTTGGCTGTTTCGGTATTTATTCTCGGAGAAAGCAACTCAAACTTACTTCGTAAATGTTTCCTCTTATTCTTATATTTAAAGTAGTATATTATGTGTTTATGCATGTAGCAATCAATTCTGTGTTTCAATTCACCATGATCAATATATTTCTTTGATTCTTTGATTCCGTTGGTTGCTCTTGTCCGGTTGCGGATTTTCTCCAAATGGTAGTAGTTGTTTCTGTTTCATCGATGATTATTACGGCTATTTTACAATTCTACGAACATCTATACACTTTTCGAAATGCAAAACACCACTTGGTTGGCGCGGCCGCAGAGTCAATTAGCCGACGCCAATTAGTGGTCGAAATTCGCATTGCTTACTTAATGAGAGACAGGGGGATGCGAAGTCTGGAAGTGTAACAGATAGCTAAGTGGAGGTGTTGGGAACGCTGGAAATATGTCCGCGCGTGCATGTATCGGCGTGTTGTGCTGCTAATTCGGAATGCCTTCGGTAAGAAGGGTTGACAGTCAAGGAGGAGGAGGCAGCGGAAGGTGGTGGATGCAAAGATATTCCAATTTGAATGCGGGACCGACACGGGAAACGAGTTCTGACGTGACGCGAGTGTGCCGGAGATACGTCGCGATAACGCGAATGCAAATATTCAGGATGGCAGTGAACGCAGACCCATGACGCTCTGAAGGGAGGACGAAGGGAAGGTAGCAGTGGCGGCTAGGGTATATGTGCACGCGAGAAGGTTTTGGTTTACATACACTTGCTAATACGTCATATGAAATGAGATGTTGGGATACGGATAACCAGGGGGATTAATAGAAATATGTTGTAATGATTGGATATTTCTAATCGGCGGCAAACCACTTGACCGCCTCGCTAACTGTAAATCATGCTGAAGTCACTCGGATCTAAATGTTGTTGCTAGTTATTTGATTGTTTGCAAACGTAGTTCTGCTAGTGCTTTCGATGTCGCTTGCTGCTCGATATTTTTAAATTGGGGATGGTTGGCTCGAGAAGGATGGAGCTTCTAACAGTTAGCAGACTGTTTACTGACGGTTGCGGCGTCCCGCTGTAACAACAAAAAACAAGCATACAATTAGTTATCATCTAACTTTTTCCAGTTAAACTTTCGCATTTAATGTGTCCAACAACGCGCATAGAAGTTTATTCTTAACCGAATGCGCAGCGGATCCTATTCTTGTAAATTGCGCTTGACATGTTGAATATATGCCGAGACATTTTTGACCCAGAAGCTTAACAAGCTGTGCGCTGAACGCCCGCTGCATGCATGCGAAATGTAAAATAGGAATATGCAACGGAGCGTGTTTAATATTTCACGTCCGGTTTTAAAATGAAGTCTCTTGTTGAGATGAAGTGGGTGTACTGATGTCGGAAGAATACCGCACGGCCCGTGTTCGAGAAGTGCGAACCAACAAAATATGGCGTCGTTCAGGAAATTCAAAAAATGTGCAGACGTAGGTGTAATGCGAGATAAAATCCATCGTGTTTCCATATCGATACCCAACTTTATAGGAAAATAAAATATTTTCCAACATTTACCACTCTTCCTTGGTCGTCCGTTTCGATTTTCTATTTCTTTTTGCTTTTATCTCAAATATTGGCAAACGATATCACATAGATACGCGTTCACCTTTCCGGGATATAGAAAAATATGTTTGCCTTAGATTAACTTTTGCTAGCAAGTGAAAAATGTATAAATTGAATATTTTCCTCTTCAAAATAAATTTTATTAATATTGCCGGCATCTTCTCCCGAATGTGCAATTTTACGCAATGCAATTTTGTTGCGACTTCCATGCGTATTTCCTTTGTTGATGTCGATGAACGAAAATCGTCAACGTGCGTTTCATAAAAAACCTAAGAATGGCGATTTATCGCCGATAACGACTCCCCAGATAAGATTTTTACCTTTTTCTTCATTGTTTCGGTCACCATCCGGAACTTCGATGCAGTCTCTTATGTGCAGGATGGAAAGAAAACTCGTAGGTTGTCGTGTAAGTCGTAAAAAACGACCAGGAAGACTGACGGAGAGCATTTGATGCGGATATCCGGCGGGTTTGACCGGTCTGGTAAGACTGACGTGACAATTTTCCGGCTACGGACATAACCCACATCGCGTCCAAACCCGCACATCCCGTTTAAATGCCGACGAATTGGATGGATTGCGATAAAGTTGTTAACATGAACGAATAGTTCCTCGGCACGTCACTTAAATCAATTTATTTCCACGCTTTAAACTAAAAAGTTCCTCGAATTTCTTGAAGTAAAAACTTCATCAATATAATATAAAATATAAAAGCAAATGTTTTGAGTTTTAAATTTAAATATTGTGACAGCGTATAGAAAATTATTCATTCGGCAAAAGTAATAACTTTTAATTACTTCTTCACGGCGAGTTAAATTGAGCAGTAAAATTTAGATGGAGGCGCGAGCGTTCGACGAATCGGAACGAAACGAAATAATTGTAATGAATCAGCACTTCGCTCGGTTTGGAAGCATTTGGTGAGAAAATCGCGGGCTCATTTCCGTCTAATACCGAGCGGCTAGGGGGAGACGCATTTGAATTTCTTATTCGATTTCTTAGCGCGTTTCCGCTTACGCGCCACGTTCGCCGACTGCTCAATTATTCGCGTGGAATAAATCATTCGATCTCGTCTCATTATTCATTTCAAAGCGCACAAATTCGTAAATAATAATAAGACCTATTTGTATCAAACAAAATACAAACAAAAACATTTTTTACTTTAAAGTAATTGAAAACACTTTTAATTTCCATAGAAAAGTCCTTATTTAAGTAGAATTTTTAAAGACTACAAAAATAAAGGAAAGTTTTCAACTACTTTGTTATACCTGTTTGTGTCGCAATCTCAACACGAGTGGAGGTTACATTTTACTTAGATTTTTTATTTATCCATGTGAAGAAAAACAGGGCAATGAAAACTTGAAAAGAAAACTAAAACTATATGTGCTATTCATATCTGAGCAGGGTTGTAACTTTACTGAACGGCATCATTGCGAGTTGCGGTGACGACGCAAGAGGCAAAAAGTCGTAAAGAAAGTTTTCGTGGCTTGCTCGGAACGTTTCTTCGAATCCTATACGGAAGTCGCGCACTTAAAAATGCATTAAAGGCCGGGCGCAATAAATTTTCTATTAAGAGTGTGCGGATTGTGAATGTCAACTCAACGTTAAAAGTTAAATATTAAGCCACAACATAAAATAAACATTTTTTTATTCAATCATCAATCATTTGTTATTTAGAATCAAAACTCGTTTAAAATTTTATTGTCATGTTTAATCACACGGAGAAAATAAAAACCAATTGCAAATTAAGTTGGCCGAGTGAAAATTTTAGATTCAGAAAGAATAAAAGTACGTATTTGAATGTAGTTATGATTACATCTTTAAATTGTCGCATCCAAATGCCAAAACCATTCGGGAAACGCCGTTAGTTATGAGTACGGTTTGAGTACGACATCGACGATCGTTTCGTGTCGTTGTATCAACAAATGGATTCGTAACAGTCGCAACGTATGCGTGAATATATCAGTACGTGTCCCAAAGGGTGCGGGTGTGTGTACAAAAGCGGATGCCGATGGTGATTCTCGTTGTTTCAATGGAAAATGCAAATTGTTATCGCGTCACTTTGCATTCCGCGTTCGGGAGAAGCGGTGGCGGTCTCGGCGTCGCACATTCCGTCACGAGATCATGAATATTCAATGCAAATAAAACGCGGAAGACTCTCGCCAAACTCTAATTCTCTAATACATACCCCAAATGCTACTGAAATGATGCTATGCTGGTTGAAGCCGCATGGCAAACGGTTGCAATGTATCCCGTCGCGCAAACAAAAGCGAAAAAGCATCAAGCGCGTAAAACAAAAGTCAAAACCAACAGCGAGCCCGCAGTGAACAGAGATCGAAAGCCTTGGATGGCGCGAGAGCTTTTGTCCCGGTCATTATACGCACCCCGAACGAGCGAATCTATAGTCATTTCATTCGCTTTATTTATCTTTTGTGGCGAAACCTGGCGGCATCCGTAAAATATGCGCGCCCGGAAATGAAGGCTACCGCATTAAAAATGTAATGACCAAGAAGCATAAAAAATAAAATATTTGCGCTTCGAGCAACTCGTAAAATTTTACATGTTATGCATTAATTTATAATATTATTTTCAGCTTCAGATATTCTTCGCTCGTAGTAAAATCCTGAATGGAAATGCAAGAAAAACACAACACTGGGCAAAAAAATCAACAATAAATTTCGTCGCTAATCCGGAAAAATACAGCCGTCACTCGTTTTTTCCCGTGTTGATTTTTTGTTGCTCGTTGTAGTTGTGTGTTTTTTTACGCGTTCGTAGAAAAGGGTCGTATATCGATCCCGGCCGCGCTGCTCTATGCTCTCCCGATTCTGTTCGCGCGTTATTGCTTCCGCGTTGGCATTGTCGTCCGGCACCAGTTTTCCGCATGCGAGCTTTCCACCCCGCTCGCGTCTTATTAAAATAATTGCATTAGCGCGCGCGGCGTGCGAAAAGAGAAAAAGGAAGCTGACGTTTTTACGCGAAATTAATCATCATCTGCGCTCGAGCCGGGCTTTCTTCGTCGGGAATCTAACGAGGAAAATACCGAAGTTGGCGCGCATCGACTCTACCCCACAGTGCATGCCCGGCTGAGAAAGAATAATTGACGCCCATGCCTGTCGTTGTGTGCTATGCAACGACCTGCAAAGTGGGCTGCATAACTGGCAGACGCGCAACGTCGGCATAACCTTTCTTTTTCATTTGCGTTTTTTGCGCGTTTCACTCTGCTATTGCAATTCGCATTCCATCAACATTACGGCGATCAACGAGTATTATTATTATTACTTTTAAAGCATTTAAGGCATGTTGTTATACGTTTTTTTCTGGTTTTTCTTCGGTTTTGCCCCAATAGTTGAGAATAAAAACCAAGTGGAAATTGCCGAGTGCGTAATTGTAATAATTGGAGGCGCCATGAGCAGAAATATCGCATTTGTGCAAAAACGAAGAATATAAAAGTAGAAATCTTCATTTTATCTGCGCACTGAAGAGACCGAGTGGAAATTTTCCAGCCAAACTGCAGAAGAAACTGGAAAACGATAATTGCGGCTAGTGGCTTCTATTTAATTGAAACGTTCAAAAGTTTTATGATCTTTAAGTGCCCGCCACATGCCCGGAGGCGGCGACTTCATTAAAGACATTACGATTACAATTAGTTAATTTCGAAGTCATTTCCCTGGAAAACAAAAACCTAAAACGTAAATGTCTCTGCGTATGCACATGTCAAGGCAATTTGCGTAACTTAACCTAACTTATAAGCTAGTAAAAAGCTTCGTGTGTAGGCATGCACATAAAACGGTAATTTCGAACCAAACACCCATCCGTAGGAGATAAAACGAGAACGTAAAACGTGTTCGACTATTACCTTTACCTTTCGTCGGTTTCGCGCCCTTCGCTTTGCACTTCTTCGTGATCTGCCTGTTCTGCTCGCAGGAAGGGTCGCTGTTGGGCTTCAGCTTGTCGTTCCGCGTCATCTGGCTCTGCGCATTGCAATCGCCCCAAGCGCCCTTCTCGTATCGGCATGCTGGAAAATCGGACAAGCAGAAAAGCATTGTGTTATATCATTCGTCAGAGGCAGAGACAATCGCACCAGCTACAAGGCAATGGCGGACATTACATCAGCATGCGGTAACAGGGTGTGTGTCAGTGTCAATATGGGATGGCAGATATCTCTTACACGACATGACGGACAACATTCACACAAATTCTCAGTCAATCGCATTCAATCATCAAAGTAAATTCAAACGTACACAGAAATTCCTTAAACAAATTTGTAAATTTCTGTTGAAATTTTAATTCATTACGTTGGCGTGTAGTATAATTGATTGTAATCCCACAAGGAGATCCCCTATTTGAGCTTCAGTCCGAAGATATAATTCCCGTTTGAGGAACACGGCGGACATGTTGCACGCCGAGCACGCCAGAAACAGGAGCGCACCGAACACAAGAAACATGAGACCCTGGGCGGCGGCATATGCCTTGCCCTGTTTCCTTTCATTAAGCGTTGATATCAATGATCGGCGAATGTTTGACGGCATTAATAATGCCGGGGCGTAAATATTTGCGCTCGGTATAATGCGAGAGCAGCAGCGTCGAATTCTGTGCGGCGCTATTGTTTGTCTGGCGAACGGGGTATTCACGTGTTTTGCCCGGCACAAGTAAATTAGCTGCCAAGGCAATACCAGATAATAACGGTTTAGTTCCAAAGCTGATTAGTTCAATATCTCGCTGGAAATCTTAAAATCCATGTTAAATTCTCTGCCTACATGCACTTTGAGTTGCCTAACGCTGAGTTTATATTTATACGCTAACTTGAAATGCAATTGCAAGGCAACTTAAAAGTTTGGTTAAGTGTATTGCATTCCAGCCGATTGAACGCATTGGAAAACACCTTAAATATAAACACACGCATTAAACTTTGCGTTACTGTTGAATGTTTCAAAAGTACCGAATAACGACCAACTCGAAACTCGTGTATCCATCCGTTAATTCATTAACACAATGAGCGTAATGTGTATTACGCTAAGCCAAGTAACGAATAACCATTTTACATTCGCTCGGCAAACAAACATTCCACTTGCGAAAACTTTCGAACGCCAGCAATTATTTTCTCATATTACACACATATCCGCAAACACTACTTGCTTGCAACTTTAGTCTTGGCTTCGTTTTCTACAAATTTGTATACAAATACAGCCGTTTCATTCGAATTTGAATATTGCACTTAGTTTCGCGTCGTGTCGTCCTTCGTGTGCCCGTATTGTTGTGCAGAAATAAATTCGCCTTTAAGTCTTCGCAAGCAGTACGCCGCTTGTCGGTGAACTATGTAATTTATTTTAAACCACCGTGGCGCGCTTCTTCTCGTGTTTCTTCCACTTTTAAATACCAAGTTGTTCTTCTAATTCCTCGTTATGTACGCTTTTCCGGATTGCAATCGTCCGCGCGCGGGCCTTATCTTCCAGCATGGCGCAAAGTTTGTCAGACACAAATTGGATTTTAGTTTTAATTGCTTTAATTAAATATTAAGGCAACAACCTCGAGCCATTAACCTCCAACTAGTTAAATATTAACTGGTGCAACGTTTAAATCACTTTGAACTGGTAGATTATGGTTGAAAAAAGTTTAATATTATATCAATATCTCATCTTTGATAAACCCACAGGAGCATTATAGACATCTGTGGTGTTCGGTGGGACTTTACGGCTGGTTATGCCTTAGTTTATGCGGTCATAAACAACCGAAATATCAATATCCTTCGTCCGATTTCGCCCAAAATATGTACATTCGTTCCTTTTACTATTGAAACCCTTGATACTTTACATCTCGACTTGGCGACGTATCGTCACTCGTTCGGAGGGATCTCCCGGCTTGGGTTTTGACGAAAAGCGCATTTCCGCGGCGCATTTTTATGCCCATTTTGTCGAATTTAAAATACTGCCAACGCACGCTTTCCCCAACTCTCATATTTTATTCCCTTTCTAACGCGACCCACCTCTATAAGCCAGTACCTACCGCCTTTTACTCCTGCACGCATGCATCGAGTTGATTTTTTTCTCTTCGCTTGGCAAACTAAATGCCTTCGAAAAAGGCGACTTGGGTGCTTTTTGTCCGAGGCACACACGTGTGCGGCATAATTTTTTTGTTTTATTAAATTTGCCCCAACGCGCGCCTTTTTCTCTGCAAAATTTTGTCCCTTTTTTCATCGTTCCCGAAATGGTAACATGGAGCATGCGAGCGTTTTATCCCGTTTCGGCTTGGGTGTTATCCTTTGAATGTAACTTCGTTTTGTCAATTTTAGCCTAGCTTTTTTTGCGCAGAGATCGAAAAAATGAAATTTTGCGATTGTGGCTGCCCTCCTATCGACATTACCATTCACCACACCGCAAGCTGGAGTATCACATAGATATTACTGGAACATTTTTGGTTACAAAGAACTTTTAAAACTTCGATGGAAATTTCAAATTTTCCCGTCCATGATTAGATTTCCACGCGAAACTCGCCGAACAATAGTTGGCTTCCGTGTTCCAACGCAAATGAAGAGTTATTGCACATTGAAAAGTGCTTAATATTAAATACACACAGCAACAAAGTTTTGATGCGTGCTCAGCATGAGGTGAGCGCCGCCCCCGTGAATAATAAAACACTGTGCGAGCGGTCGTCGGGCAAGTTGTCGACTCGTGTACTATCTAAATCGCGGCGTCGAGTTTCAACACCGCCAAAGTGTTGTAGGTAAATACTCGCGCATATATACACGCGCGAACCAGGGGGGCGGCGGTGGATGGCGGCCTGCGGTCGGCGCGAGTGCAGTCACGCTTTGTAATTTTCGGACGGGCGGCGCAACAAACGGCGAAACAAACCGGACCGACGCTTTGATTTAAAACCTCCGCGTTTCCGGCGAAATGAGAATATCTCATCGACTTTTGCATTGCAACAGCTCCATACAATTCGCTTCAAACGGAACTAATTAACAGCGAATTTCCCAACCATACGATAGAGAATTTAAAAAACAAATAGAACACAAAATACAACACATTTAACCGACTTGTTTTGCATAAAATACACAAAAACGTTGAATTTAACAAAGAATTTTGTTGGGACATACTGTATAATCTTTTCGTGCAACCCTTCGTTAATAAGTTTGCGTTCCCTGTTACCCGCTGGTTGCAACAGGGCAAATACTTCATCCGGATGTGTGTGTATGGCTCCGGAGGAATTGTGCGTGTCAGAACATGTTAGAATGTAATCGCGTGCACGGCCGGCGGTCGGAATCCAGGATATGCGAATAGGAAAATGATTGTTATGATTGTTTCGTCTCCCTTTCCCTTCGCGGACGCAAAAGCAAATGGTCAGAGATGTACTCAAATAAATATCTAATTTGATCTCAGTAATTAATCCCATCAAATATTCAATACTTTTGTTGTAATCCTTGTTGACAGCGTACATTTTTCCAAAAGCAGAAGGATTAAACATTGTGGCATTAGCACGTACCTAATCCGTGCCTGAATTAATGTATCACGTGATGCGCCGGCGGCCATATTGGCAAACACATCCGGCCGTTTTTGCCCGCACTGGCGACATGATGAATTTTGTGCGTGTTGCGTATAGTTGCTCCCGTGGGAGCGACTGGAAACTTGACTAATTCGCGAACGGGAAAATGAAGCGGAAGCCCCAGGACCCCCGTGTGGCACCCGGCACGGAAAACAAAGTGTCCTCGCGTTCATGCTGTTGCCTCGTCCTACTCTCCTACACCCTTAGATTGTCAAACGTAAACATGAATGCGCCCACCCATCGTGCGTGCGCGTCGAGATAGAGTGTAATTTGTCTCGGGCGCTAGCGTATTTTTAATGGAAATGTTTAATACAATTTTAAATTACTTCCGGGATAGAATCCGTCGAAATAAGATGTGTAACAGTGTAGGAAATACTTCTATTTTGTTTTATTCGATGGTTATGCCCGCAAGTTTAGCTTGAACTGAATGTCTTTATTTATTTAGTTGATTTGGGGTTATTTCTACTTTTATTATTATTTGCTTCCAGGATGCGAGGTATAAAGACTTTAAACCCAGCTAAGTAAGAAATGTGCGCGTGCTGAACCCCGTGCCGAATTTTCCACGCCCGTAAATCTACAGACAATTGATTGATATTCTCGCTACGAGCGCACATCGCGCAGGATGCGAATAAAATAAACAACAAGCCGCACGAAGAGAAACCTGGAAAATGTATCTCTCGAAGCCGACATCAGGATGCTCTCCAGATCCGAGAACGCTTTTCGTGCAACAAGCCTCATGCATTTGTTTAAAGTACCTTTAGCATCTATACAAACTGTTTTAAAAACACATAATCATATAAAACTAAAAGTTTACAAAAATTCTTGTTTCTGGTATCTATGAATTACGAATTCATCTTAAAAATTGTAAATTTTATTCTAAAAAAGTAGAAATGCTAATAATTCACGTTGGCGCCATCTAGGATTGGATTGTCTAACTAAACAGTGAATTAATGTGTATAACAACTTTCATCCCTTATTTTTACCCTGGCAGTTATACTTTTGCACGAGAAAGTAGCCTATTTTCTTTTTATGGGTCCAAAATATCTCTATACCAAAATTTATCAAAATTCATTCAGTAGTTTTTGCCTGAAAGCGACACAAACATACAAACACTTCCTGTCGCATTAATAATATTAATTAATGTTATTTATCCAACGTAATTAATACTCAATATCACAAATTCATGTAATGCAACTTGTTTTGTGTTTAAAAATTTATATACCCTGTATATAAATAGGACTACATTTATATCAGCCAGTGTTTTATGGCCTTCCCCTCATTTTATTTTGTATTTTTCTTGAGCCCGCTTTTTTATTCGTTTGACTGGTTAGTGTTCCGCCGAAGAAAATCGCGAACGATTTGGAAAATATAAATTCGCCGGCGGCGGCAGTAGCGGTGGTGCGAATAAATGTGCGGATTGCACAAACTTTCCGCAAGACGTCGCGCGCGTGAATGTAGATACAACACAACGCCGACATTTGCATTTTTAACACGCCATTTCACCTACTCGCCGCGCGGCATAACATAACACGTTTTTCTTCCATTCCGCATTTCCTTCCCGCGGCGTACTCTGCCAAAAAACGTGATAAAATAAAATACAAAATCAATAACATTTATATCATAAATACGAACACATATGTGGGCGTATCGTCATATTCAGAACATCGAATAACGAAAATTCAACGCTACCAAGCAAAAAATTCAATGAAAAATATTTTTCGTTTTCGAATCGTTTTAATATCGTAACATCGTTATCTCGACGGAATGCAATCTGCGCAGAGTCCGCAGGGTGCGAGTGTCATTTTCGTCAAGTTAATTACACCTGCGACGCGCGCACGCTCGTAATTAAATAAAATTAATGAAGTGTCAAATCGGGATCGCGCGGTGCTGCACCCAAGGCGCCAAGGCGCGGCCGGGGTCGCGCTCTGCGAGTTGCAACTTACTTTGTTTCGCAAATTTTATAAGCTCGTTATGCCGGCTTTGGTAATCGGATACTCGAAGCCAAGCGTCGAAGTTAATTCCGAGTTAATGAAAATGTTGAAAAAAAAAATTATTCAATTTAAGAGATCTAGGCAACTCAATTTGCAAGTTTTATTTATATTCTTTCTATTTGTGTGTGTTTTAATTAAAAGTATTTATGCACGTGCATTGCATAGCATTCACTCTTCGGCGCATTTTATTCGCACATTCTTTGCGCTTTTGCACTTTTGCTGCTGCACGGGCGATTTTTTCGTTGCGGTAGCTTTGTACGCTTGTTGCTTTCATCATGCACATTCCATCCAAGTCCATATTCAGTCATAGATTCACCGCAAACTCAAGCACTCAAGACACATTCTCTTCATTTTGTTACGGGTTGTAAGGAAGGTCGGGTTAGGAGTCTGAATGACTGAATGTAATTACCTTTTTTGCATTTCTTCTGAATGGTCTTGGTCGACTCGCAGGTGGACTGATCGCCCTTCTTCAGCGTCAACGTCCGCGAGCGCATGTTGTTCTTCGGGTCGCATTCCGTCCACGGGCCCTTCACATATCTGCAATTCTCTGCAAGAAAGGAGAGACACGAGACGCGTCCGAATTAGTACACAAACAGGTAGCGAAGACAAGAGAAACAAAACAAAAACAACAAGAAAGCAGAACGTAAACACGCAAACGAAAAGAGGTGAAGAGCTGCTGAGCACTGAACGCGAGCGCGCAAAGAAAACAAATGCTAAACGAGACGAGCACGCGCGCGCGCGCACGCTCATTTAGCAAAAGGAGAAACACATTTTTAAATAAAACCAACGCTTCGGGCTGAACATTGCAAACGGGACAAAAGTGAGCACAAAAACTAAATTGCTTTTCATCCCGTCCTTCTGCTGGCTCTGCAAATTATTCGTAAACAGAACGAAATTTTAGTTAACAAACCGACGACCATCAAGGCGCCGGCAACGTTGACAATGCGAATATTATATTTTCTTTACAAAATTCGTTTCGTATTGCGCAAACATTTGCACAATGCGCGCGGCAGACGTGCCGAACAAGCAGGATTTAAAATTGTTCCAACTTTTCCAACGAATGAGGACAATATTTGCATCATCCCAAAGGTGCGCGCGGAGCGGACGGACAGACCTAGTAGATTCACTTATCCCAAACATCGATTTAGCACAATGGGATTTCGATTAAAACACGTTCCCTCCAGCTCATATATTAGGCATGAAAGGTTTATACACCTTCTGGAGGACTAGGGCCATAAAATAGCGCATAGATAGACGAAGAAACGATCGTTAAATTGCCGACGCGGCTCCAAAATGCGAAGCGGAAACGAAGGGTCCTATTTTATTAATCAGATCGAAGGGTGGGCCATTTAACCGCACAGATTTCTATTTCTACATAAAGTGTCTTTCAAAGTCATAAACTTTACAAACTAGATGGAAATTAATCAATATAAAATATCTACCTGTATTTAACATGAAATGGGTTAATAGGTAACCGGAAGCAAAAGGTGGTATTTGCATAATACAAGACCAGAACCGATCGAGTAATCCGAATCGCCGCCCCAAGGATTTTCATTTCGAAAGCGCGTCGAACAGGTTAAATCTATGAGGCTAATATATACGCGCATGTAAGCGTTCCCCGCTGCCTCGACCCGCGCACATAATCGAATTAACATAAGATACTGCCGGCGGTGGCGGCGCCTATTAGAGGTTTCCCTCTCGGCCACTCCGCGGGCGGACGCGAGCTATGCAAATGACGTGATTTAACACGTTCGACTGCAGCCGACAAGCAGCAAACCTGACTCAAGCTTTGCCGCCCCTGAGTGAACTTGCGATTTCTGTCCGGAACGTCACTTGCAATACTCTAAATTGTTAGATTTTAGTATAAATTGTAAATTAAATTAATTTTTTTGTTTATAATTCAGTTTATTGTATATTGCCCAATTAACTCAGAATAAACAAAAATCTCTCCGCTCGACGTTTTTGTTCTGTTTGTTTCTAGGGGTCGGTAAATTCCGACTTGCTGCCTCTGCGCGCTCAAATAAATACGCAACATTAATGGCCAGCAACAGCAATCTAGTGATTATAAATAAAACACAAATCATAACGTAATCCACTCGAATTCGGAGCGCAGCGTGTCCCAACATCCGCTTTCCGCGTAATGTTTACAATTACAAAACAAATACCGTGATTAATGTTAGCCGCTCGCATTCGGAGAGTCTTCCAAACGCGCGCGCCCTCGCAATTTATGCAGTCGGACTAGGCTGATGCCTCCACAATGGGTATCAATTTGATATTCATAATATTTTTGAATATTTTTTGGCTCGGCTTTTGTTACGACCAAACACAACAAAAAAAAAACGTATATATCTACCATTGTAGTGTGAGAAATGCGGAACGGAATTGTATAAACGCGAAATTGTACAATGTAGGTACACATGTGCAGAACGCACGCACGTTCAAACAATTCATTATTAAAATAAATTCGCGTGTTGGCTTTTTGTGCATATAAAAAAACTCCATCTGCGCCGCAACATTTTTCATTGCAAATACATAACTCGTTGGCTAAACTGAAATTATAAATATTACGGAAACTAAATGCGGATCTCAAATGTTTGACAGTTTTCAGTCAATATTTCAAGCATATGCATATAGATGTGTTGCATTTGCAAAATTAACAAAACGTAGCGACAAGTAATGCGGGTGGCGACGCCGACGCAATCCGAACATTATTTCCCGCTGCCGAAATTGACAGCTATTGTAAATTTCGTTGATCAAAATTGCGCTGCGTTCGGCAATCGCGGCGCCTCCACCATCGCTCGCGTTTGCATACGCGATCACTTGATTGGGAATACGTTTTGGCGTTTCGATGCGTGTTTGTTTTGACAGAACGCTGGCGTGTGCGTTTAATATAAATGAACGAATTTACGAGCCTGCGTGTGCGCGTGTATCGATTCGATATGCAATTCCGCAAACAAAATCGCAGTTGCAACATGGCCATTACCACAAAACACAAAATTGTTACATAAAACTGTATATATTTTGTTTTTTATTTCGAAATATTAAAAAAATAATTTAAATATACTATTCGCATCTGGTCTTAACAGAAACAAATGTCTGATATAAAAACCAATGTGTAAATGAAGCCGAGAACACGTTTTACTTTTTTCTGCGAACGCAATGAACATACATCAAGCTTTAAACTGGCGAACGCGACGTCGACAATTGGAACATTTGTAAAAAGTGCAAAAAGCACTCGCTGTTATAGAAATGCGCGGCGCGAGCAAGCGGAAAGAGTAATAGAGAGATACAGGGCAAACAAAACTACGCGAAGGCAGCAAAAAACGACCACGCGTGCTTTACTTTGTGCGAATAATGCGATTTACGGTATTATCTGCCCTTCGGATCGCAGATCGGCGCACACATTCTCCTATTTCGCTTTTTTCCACTTTCGGCATAATTCTGCTTTTGTTGGAACAAGTGCATATAGGTGCTGCTAATGGTGTTGCAAGAGTACAACACACAATCGATGAGTGAGCCATCTTTTTTTCTCTTTTTTATCTTGTTTCGCAAGGTAAAAATACGAGCAAGGACAAATAACAAAAGAAAAAACGACAAAAAAGCAAAAAAAAAGAAACACTAAAAAAATATTTTTGACTTTGGTTTGGTAAATCCCTAAGTAATTGTTATTATGAAAATTAAGATATCTTATTACGCATGCCCACTAGCATACAGTAGTCCTACAATCATCCACACGTAAACCACTAATTTGCAAAGCGTTTTACCTTGCGTGTTCTCACATAGTTAACCCTTATTTCGCCTCCCGGCAGCGCCATCAATCGTGGCTGGCGAAAACGCCAGACAGTATTAATTACAATCGCATTATGTGAGTGATAATTTAGTCCTTGTGCCGTGGCGGTGCAATCAAATCATCTTCGCAACACCGACTATTACCAATATTACAGGCATTACACCCGCGATTGTTACCGGAATTACGTGGACCTGCGCTATTAGAAGATGTTATGGCCGATAGTGAGCTGAGCTGGAATATGATGAGACATGCTTGGTGGCCATTAGATCGTATTATAATAACATCTTGCGCTGGGGTGTGTTATTACATATCTCACAGAGGCACGCGTGCAGAGATTGCGCATCTCTGATGAACGCGTGTGTTGCTTGATACGATTGCAACGCAATTACCGTTGGTTTGCAGGCGTACATCGATTATTTACGCTTGCAGTATATTACGCACTACTGTTGGCAGGATGCGCTAATTTTGAAAATTTACTGTGTTTGTTGTCCGCGGTGATAAACCAATGGATACTAAACAGTTTTTACAAAATTAGTAGCTGTTGTAAATTAACTTAAAACGTGTAATGTTGATAATGGACTGTAGTGCCATCTATTGGTTGAATTATGATACTGTTACTAAGATAATATTTCCATGCCAACTTTCAGCCCTAATTTTACACCCTTACAGTTATATATTAGTAATAAAAAGTAGCCAATATCCTTTTTTGATGTATGTTTTACAAATTTGTAAAGTTTCATCAACATCGTTTTAGTAATTTCTGCGTGAAAGTGAAACAAACATACATTTCCTATGAAAATTATACATATTTACGATTATGATACTCCAAAATTCGTTATTTCTATGTTAGTTTTTTTACCACAAACAAAAATAAAATGATTTTTCTAACTGTTTGGTGCTTCTGGTTAAATAGCTATTGTAGTTTACATTTGCATGTAGTCGCGGGTGGTCGTTTCGGATGGTGTCGCGCGATAAACAAACAGATTTCGTTTTGCATAATTTACATCTGCGGCGGCGCAGGCAATTTGCAATTTGCTGGGAAATTCGTAAATTTGCGCTATTTCAAATATATCGCATCCGCCTCGCTGCGTTTCATTACATTGCTTGAATTAATTGCATCGCAATGCAATTATAATCACAATATTTGCAATCAAATTCCTCCAGCCTCCCTGTTTTTTCCACCGAAAATTATAAATGTTGATAATATTATGATTTTAATCGGATTAATTTCCGAGGTGAATAATAACAGCGAATGCAAATTAGTACGCTTTTCTTCACGTTTTAAAAACTCGCTGCGTGCATCAAAGCATCGGAGCATTCATTAAAAAATATTCAGCATTAAAATTTGCAATCCTTTCCGATGTGATAAAAAAGGGCGTAAAAGTGGCGTCCGTCTTTAATTATCTCCGTTCGGCACACAGCGCGGACTTTAAGACTTTACACAGACAATTTCGACGCGACGACTCTTTCATGCTGCTTTATTCGGCACATTCGGGGATGACATTCTTGGAAGAACATCGCAGCGTGCACGAAACGAGGGAACAGCGTCTTTATTTCCACGCAGCGGCTAAGAAACTCGAAAAAAGATCTTAAAAGGCAAAAAAACGAGGAGTACTTTTTAAAAGAAAAATCGCGGAATGGGAATCTACAGCCGTGGCGCTTAATTCCGGTCGCGGCGCGAAAATCAAAAGAAAACTTTTGGCGAAGCATAAAATTCCGCAGCACAATAATAAAGTGTGTGGTTGTGTGCGCATGGC